AAAAGGGCAAACCAAAAAAAAAAAAAAAAAAAAAAAAAAAAAAACAGAAGTCCTGAATAACCTTATTAATAAAGTTGATGCTATGGTTTGAATGTCCCCTCCAAAACTCATGTTGAAGCTTAATCCCCATTGTTAAGAGGTGGGGCCTTGGGGAGGTGATTGAAAAATAAAATAGAAGAGAAAGAAATAAATAAAATAGAAAAGGAAATAGTAATAATCCATTTATGGATTTACAGATGAATGGGTTAATGGATTAACAGGTTATCATGGGAGTGGAACTGTTGGCTTTATAAGAGGAGGAAGAGAAACCTGAGCTAGCATGTTAGCATGCCCTTGCCCTCCTGCCATGTGATGCCCTATGCTGCCTTGGGATTCTGCAGAGAGGTCTCCACAAGGAAGAAGGTCCTTACCAGATGTGGTCCCTCAACCTTGGACTTCCCAGCCTCCAAAACTGTAAGAAATAAATTTATTTTCTTTATAAATTATCCAGTTTTGGGTATTCTCTTATAAACAACAGAAAACTGGCTAAGATGGTTGACTTAAGTCTAGATTTTACTTCACCTATAGGCAAACACTCTACCTTATTATCCAGTACCTACTGAAATTACAAAACTTGTGCTAACAGTAAAGCACAAGAAAATGTCAATAAATCTCCCAAAGCATACCAAAATGTAATAAAACTAGAAATTAACAACAAACTTTAATGCTAAAAAGAAAGGGCCAGCCTATGGCTCACTTGGGAGAGTGTGGTGCTGACAACACCAAGTCAAGGGTTAAGATCCCCTTACCAGTCATCGTTAAAAAATAAAATAAAAATAAATGCTAAAAAGAAAAAAAACTAGCACTTGTATGAAACATTTATAATTAATTATTTAATCAAAGATAAAATCAAAATAGCAATTATATAATGCTTTTAAGGTAAGGCTAAAGAGAACATATATTAACACCCTCATAAATAATCGTTCATTCAAAGGAAAAATCAGAATAGCAATTATGCCACGCCTTGAAAGTGAGGATAAAGAAAACATGTATCAATGCCTAAGGAATTCTGCCAAAGCTCAAATCCAAAGGGGAGAAAGAAGCGTTGAAGACTTTTATTATCAAACAATAAAGAATGGAAATAAGCTGAATTATACATTCAACTCAAGAATTTAGAAAATAAAACAAAATAACCAAGTTAAAAGATGCATGGAAAAGGAAATAATAAAAATAAGAGGAGAAATTAATGAGTTAAAAAAACAGAAAAACAGTTATAAAACCCAAGAGATCATTCTTTGGGAGAAGAAAATGGTAATAAAACAGGCAATGCAAGCTAATCAATTTTTAAAAGAGAGAGAAAAAAATAGGAATCAGAACAACCTGGGTCATATAACCTATAGCCCCAAAGGAGTTGTAAACAAATATTCCATATGACATTCTGCCAATGCATTTTAAATCTCAACCAAATGGACTTTTTGGTGGGATAATATAAATTATAAAAATCAACTCAAGAAAATTTAAGAAACATAAACAGACCAAAGACCATGGGAAAAAATGACAAAGTTGTCAAAGAATCATTTCCCTAAAGGGGTAAAACTTAAATGACCTTATGAGCAAAACTGTCCAACTATAAAAGAAGAGAATGGGCCGGCCCCGTGGCTCACTCGGGAGAGTGCGGCGCTGGTAGCACCGAGGCTGCAGGTTCGGATCCTATATAGGGATGGTCGGTGCACTCACTGGCTGAGCGTGGTGCAGATGACACCGTGCTGAGGGTTGCGATGCCCTTACCAGTCAGGGGAAAAAAAAAAGAGAGAGAATAATTCCAAAGTGATATAAACTTTTCCAGGGCAAAAAAATTATATATGGAAAACTTTTCATTCCATTTTAAGGAAACTAGCTCGCTCATAATGAACTCAGCCGACAGAAAGTGCAGGATCTGGAGGCAGAGCATGACACATCTTACAACAATGCATAAATAAACAGGACGACTTGGGCAGATACTGAATAAATGTGGAAACATACCTTGTTCCCAGTTGGAATGACTCAGTATAAATCCCAATCCTCACTAGATTAACTCACAAATTTAATCCAATTCCACTTAAAATTCCAGACAGCATAAAGCAGTCCAGAGATATTAAATAACTCAGCCATGGTCCCAATCCTTCAACACAGAGATAAGATGCAAAACCAGGTCTATCTGGCTCTGAAGACCATGTTTTTCCCAGTGGAAAGTAACTTGAAGAGGTCATTGGATATTAGTAAAAAGAGGTGACACTAAACAGCAAACTGTCATTCTGACTGAACAGTGGTAGATGAGTTTGAAGTCCTGTGATGATCTTTTGAAGAAAACATATCCCTATGAATCCACAGTAGTTCATTATTGTTTGGAAAATTTCTCTAATTAGTTAACATATTAATTTTATAATATCTTTGCCTACATATTATTTACTTAGAAAAAAATAATTTTGTTTTATTTATATACAAGGACCAAAAGACCTAATTTGTGTAATTTTGTGGTCATTTTACACTGTTAAGATTGGCAGACTTTTCAATTATTTCTGCCGAATCTATGTCACTTCCCAGTACCTACTAGCTGCAATACCTGAGGGTTCAGGTACATTTTCTTAAGTGGGACATCCATCAGCTAATTAAGAAATACCTCAGCTCCCCCAAAATAATAAATGACACCAATGGTTTCTCAAAGTTTGTCTAGAAGGTATTTAATTAGTCCTGACACCCCAAAACCATAATTTTTTTTTAAACTCACTGTCATAGTCACAATGTTAAAAAAAATGCATGTGACAATCACTTCTGAAAGCTCCTTCCTGCTCACTCCTCTTTTCAACCAACACCTACCCTCCTGCACCCTAGGGCTGCCTCCACCTACCCGCTCACCCACTCTCAACTCGTCTGGCACCCTGGCTCTTCCTCTCTCACAGGCAAGGGCAAGAAATGACTTTTGCATTTCCTACCAAAGAGAAGCCACGTGGCTACCCTCTATTATTGCCTTGGATAATTGAGAATGGAATGCATCACCACCTAATGCTCTCCTCTTTTAAATGCCTTTTCTTACCTTCCACCTCTACCAGAGGACCCAGCTGAGAAACAACACATCAGTGCCCATTCAGCCTGGCACCCATAGAACCAGAATCTCTCCTGCTACGTCTGCTCTGATTCTGACCCTGGAGCTACTACATCCCTCTGAGTACAAAGCTTAGAAAGCAAATATGAACTTTCCTGCCCAGCTGAATCTGCAGCACATTTCCCCACTCCCTGTGCTTAGTATTTTCTAGGAGGAAATGAAACTTCGCCTCCACCTACCAGCTGTCTGGAAACCAATGACGGCTGACACGGAGTGCCTGGGAGGGGCAGTGGAAATGCTCACGGTGTAGTTGGTGCCTCGGTACAGGTCTAGGCACACTGCTGGAGTCCTGCTGTCTGTGGTCAAGTTGACTGTCTCCTCATGAACTGATGCCATAGGATCCAACCGTTGTCCTTTTATGTGTATCTTTGTGAGAGGAAAAGACAAGAGAACCCACTATGACTCCAGTCAAAACAACTAGGACTTTGTGGTGCTGGATCCTTTTCTCCTCCTATTCCATTTTACACTGCACTGCTCAACCCAGGAGGATAAATACGGTAAGCCTCTGTTATCAGGTATCTGATGATAAGTCTAATCAGCCCAGTAATCAATAAACCCTAAGAAGTGACATAAATGAGGAGGGTCTCTAGGGAGTGCTGTCCTGCACACAAATGACCAGCAATAAATGGAGGCAGTCACAACATGAGGACCACTCGCTGCATTCTGTCACCAAGTCAGCAGATGCTTCCAGGTCTGTTCTGGGGGAATGAAACACAAGTGCTTGGAAACAAGCAATAATGATGATGCCAAATATAATGCATCCCCCACATACACATCCCATCAACTGACAAATGTGCGAAACACAAAATGTAAAATAACAAAATAATCCCACATCTTAAAAAAATTCCATTCACTCTTTTTAAATGACAGTGGGATAGGAAAGCAATTAGACTGAGAAGTTTTTATGGAAGCAAGACCCTCTGATTCATATTCCCATGGGTTATCCTTTCGGCCCTAGCAGGAAAAAGTAGATCCCTTTACTTACCACATATACGATCTTGGAATTTATTCTTCCTGAGTTTATTTGCCACCTTACACAGGTGTTATTAAACACTGATACATCATTAATTTCTGTCATTATTTCTAAAATAGAAAAAGAGAGTCAACTCACAAAATGCATCAATTGGCTTTGGAAAAATCCTGATGGAGATTAGTTTATCTGCCCAGCTGGTGTCTCTGCTGATCACCATTCATGCTCTGATTCAGACACCGAATCAGACAATTCAATCTATCCCAGGCCAATCGCCCAACATTCCTTCATCATGAATGAGCCTGGACCATTACCTGACTTGGGGTGAGTAAGAATTCCGGCCTGTGATTAGTGTGACAGACTACTGGATTCCACTGGCATTCCACGCAGGTAGGATGGACCCAGGCCTAGAGCTAAGTCCTGAATCTTCCCTCCAACTACAGAAGTAAGATCTGCTTCCGCCTTCCTCATTCCCACCAGGTTGTGGAACACTCTTATTCTAGTCCCTGCATTCCCAAGAAGAAAAATGACATGTATCACTGCACAGGACCACCCCTCAGGAGCAGCTTGGGATAAACTAAATGAATTCTCCATAAGATCCCTGGATACGGGCCGGCCCGGTGGCGCACTGCTACAGTGCGCCGCTTGAGAGGGCGGCGGCGCTCCCGCCGAGGGTTCGGATCCCACATACAGACCGGCCGCTCACTGGCTGAGCGAGGTGCGGGCGCAACACCGAGGGTTGCGATCCCGTTGTCGGCCCCGGTCTGGTACGGGCGCGACACTGAGGGTTGTGATCCGTTGCCGGTCACGAAAAAAGACAAAAAGGAAAAAAAAAAAAAAAAAAGATCCCTGGATACTTCTGGGACTCCTTTAACTGAAACTATTTAATCAGGAAGCCACTGATTTCTTAGGGTTGCTCTGCTTCTTTTAAATAGTCTCCATGTATTCCATGTTATAAATTTGGCAATGTGGGAAACCATATTAGGGCCTTGGTTCCCTAAGGTAACATAGTTTCCAATGGATTATGTCAACCACCTAGAAAGTTGTTCAGATGGGGTGGAGAGAGAGAATCTAGATTTTTATTTCTTTACAATCCCTGCAGATAAGTAAAACTATCTCTATTTGCAAATGGCATGATCGTGTAGATAGAAAACCCTAAGGAATCCACACAAAAAAAACAACTATTGAAGCTAAGAAAGGAGTTCAGTAAGGCTGCAGGATACAAAGTGAATGTACAAAAATCAATTGTGTTTCTGTACATTAGCAATGAACAATTCAAAAATGCAATTAAGAAAACAATTTCAAAAAAGAAAAAAGAAAACAATTTCATTTATAAAAGCATCAAAAAAAAAAAAAAAATGCCCTGCAGATAGAAGCCACCATACTGTCATCCCTGGAGAAGGGAATCCTCATTTCAACAAAAAGGAATATTCCACAGCCCCAGTTCAAGCTTTCCCATAGAATCAGACACCTCTATGGATTCTTCAGTCTTTCTCTCTCGGGGCTTCCCCTGCTCCTTGTTCCAGCCCTGCATGGGCTTTGACAACATGCCCATATCTTGCCTCCTATTCTGGGGCTTCCCCGCTGTGGCGACCATACCCAAGCACATGCAACCTGGAAGTGCAGGGGAGTTAAAATCTCACAGGGACAGGAGCTAGTGGACAAGTTGCCCCCTCTTCCTCCTGAAGAGAAGTTCTACGACTTAGTTTCTACAGTGACTTAGTTTCTACAGCCTCTTAGGACACTGTCAAACAGATGGATCAACCCTCATACTCAGTAGAGACCAGTACATAAGACGGTTCCTTATATTGGCTCTCCTTTCCCTGCTTTACTGCCCTTGGTCCCACTTCTGCTTCCTGGAATTTTAGCCCCTAGTGCGTAATAAATATAAGCCCTCTGCCTCAGGCTCTGTTTTCTGGGAAACCTAAGGTAAGACTCCCATCAAGAAGACTGAGAAAGAGAATTCTCCATCTCAGAAAATGACTCTCCTCAACTCGTTTCCTGTTCCTCCCTCCTAGTAAGTCTCTTCTCAGCCTCTAAATGGGAAAACAAGCCTGCACCTTAGGTACCTGTAGGGTCAACTTATATCTCCTGTACTCAACGCTAATGTCAACTTTGAATTGACCCTGGTCTACTGATCTTTCCACCCATAGAAGATTTTACATCTTTACTAAGTCATCCCATCTGCAGTATTACCTGCATTCTATGTCCCACATGACTTGGTGTTAGGTAAACCCAGTCATCTATTAGTAAGTAAGAATAAATGGAGGCAGCGAGAGGAAAACAGGCAAACTGCAGAGATATTAGAGGATCTCCTATGGCTGTCTATGGCTCTACGTCAAAAGATACTTGAAATCAAATAAATACTCCAGTTGTGGACGTGGGTTACCCTAAGAGATGCAATGACCTGATCAGTTTACGCCCTTGGATAGCATAAAGATGATGTTGGCACCAGTCATTTATCAGCCTGGACAAGCCCCAAATATTCCCAGCCCCTTCCTTCTCCACTCCCTTCAAAGCCCCAGAGCTCTAGACATCTCTGTTCACTCACACATCCATCTGATGCTAACTTACCACCTAGTCTAGGAGGAAAAGGAAACATCCCACCCCTCACCTTCTCTCTGAGTTGCAAATAAAGCCAATTTCGTTCTCTCTCTGGGTCCCTTTGTCACCCAAGCAGGCATTAGAAAGAAGTTTCTTTTCTCATCCTTCCTTTGGCTCACTCACTATGACAGCTGTAACTGACATCTCAAAGATGCCATCTGCCTCCAGCCTGTGCCACGCTCTCTGCACAGATGGGACCCAGATCTGATTATAGGGATGCCGGATATTTCATCCCAAGGAGAAGTTTAACAAAGTTTGGTTGCTTTTCCCTCCAGGTATCTGCAAATCAGTTGGAAAGACTTCTTCGTGAACATATCAGATATTAAACATCTACATTCATGCTACCCTTTTAAAAGAGATGGCTTGGGAAGATATGCCCTAATTTCAATAGTACCGATAACCGAAAATGTTTCTGGAACTCCTGTTTTAACTGTCTCCAGGGCTCTTCCATTCACTGTTCACCACTAACTGAATAGCTACCAAATGCCAAGCATCCTCATGCCAGGCCCTGGGCTGTAACATGATCCCAGCATCAATCCTTCCCTGAAGGAGCATGCTGTCTAATGGAGGGAGCAAACATTCAAGCAGGTAAATTACAACTTAATAAGCCACACAAAAGCATCGCAGGACGTAGAGAAAGAAGACATCGACATCCCCTGGAGGACCTGAGAAAGCCAGCTTCATGGAGGGCATGACCTTAATGGATGAGTGGCTGGAGAGAGGGGAAGACATGTAAGCAGAGAGACAGCAGGTCTAACGCCTGGGACGGTAAAAGGGTGTGGCACGTCCGGAGTGGTGAAACAGACGTGCCACGTGACAGAGGGTGAGGAAAGATGGGAAATGCACAGGGAAGACAGGGCCAGGCTGAGAAAGGCCCTCCTCACCAGATTAGGTTCAGCCTGAGTCTCATGAGCAATGGAGAGCCAAAAGCATAAAAACGATAGGAACGGTTTGGGGGGATTTTTTAAAGAAAGATAACACTAGAGTCCAGAAGAACTGAAGGTCACAAGGAAAGAATACAAAACCATTTCCTTAGTGATTACTCTATGCCAGACATGAATAGCTCTTTATAGACTAGATCTCATCTCCACAGCAGTCATAAGAAGCAATAATGAAGACAGTAAGAAGAGTGATCATGTATTGAGTTATTACTATGGACCAGATAATGTGCCTAGTACTTTAAATGTATCATTTTGTTTAATCTTCAAAATAACTCCAGGAGTGAGATATTATTGCATCCATTTGATAGACCTGAGGCTTAGAGATGTTAAGCAACCTGCCAAAGGTCACGCAGCTAGTAAGCAGTTAGGTCAGGATTCAAAATTACATGTGTCAGACTCCACAGTAAGAGCCTTTGCACTGAAGCAGTTATTCAGCAAAGAGGTTAGGAGATGAAATTGGGGCACTGTATTACAAAACAGGAGACAATTTTGAAGGAGAATCAAAAGGAGGTGAGAGATAAGGAACATCGAGGGGTCGAGGCTGACTACAGCCTTTGAGCTTGAGAATCTGAATAGATTGCCTTTGACTGCTCTGCTAACAAATGGAGGCGGCAGACAGTGAAATGGTGGTGCTGGATGCCTGATGTCCCTTCAGTAGTCTGACAAGGGAATAGGAGGAGAGGGAACCCGGACAGTGAGCATAGACAACTCTATCAGAAGTCCCACGGCAAAGACAGGGACCAGTCTAGTGTCCTATCTTGGTTTGAATTTTATATCCTTTTTCTTTATGTTTGGAAACAGCGAAAGGTTATACAGAATAAATTCAGGTGACCCAAACAGATGGTCAAGCTCAATGCCATTTCTAGTCAAAACAGTATCTGATATCAAAAGCAATATGACTGATCTTCTAATACAACTCATAAACTACTTCCAAAGGCCAATCCCAAAAAGGGATTTCAAAACAAACACATTTTGATAATGGCAGAGTGATATTATGAGATATATATACATGTTTTCATTCATGACTCCTGGCCCCCCAGGCAGGACTCTAGTCTTCCCCTGTCTTTCTGTCTTGGAGCTGGCCATAAAGAAATCCCCTGACTTACCTTGTCTGATTGTAAGTGATAAGATCCCCATTTCAGGAGGGGTCCTGCTCTACACCTGGGAGGAAGGAATGCTGCATAGAGAGGCCAAGAAGAACCTGAATAAACAGGCCTTACTGAGTTTCCCCAACCAGTCTCTTAGTGCTAGATCATAACCTTTTTATCCAGTCACATTTCTACATGATTGTCCATGCTTCCAACATGCCTACATAATAAATCTTCCATAAAAACCCAAGAGCACAGGGTTCAGGGAGCTTCCAGATAGCTGAGCACGTGGAGGTTCCTGGAGGGTGGAGGTTCCTGAAGGGTGGCACTCCTGGGAAGGGCATATAAACTCTGCGTCCCTTCCCCCATATCTCACCCTATGCATCTCTTTATATGTATCCTTTGTAATATCCTTTGTGTTTCCCTGAGTTATATGAGCCTCTCTAGCAAATTAACTGAACCTAAGGAGGGGATCATAGG